AATCAGGCTAGGGCTGTCCATCGCCGACATTAAGAAAACAGAAAACACAAGGATAACCTAATAAAGACGTTTTTACGCTTTTGCAGCGGTTAAAACAGAAGAAATTACGTTTAGAAACACCTCTTGTCCTGATAAGCGTTTGTGCTTTTTAGCGGGAAAATCCCATCCTACGTTGCAGCGAGGTTGACTGCGAGATACTGGGTACCTTATTTGCCACAATTTGCTACTTTTCGCGACTGTTCGCCGCTATTCGCACTATTGGAGACTATTCGCACTATTCGTACTATTCGCTTTCGCTATTCGGAACTATTCGCTGTTTACTATTCGCGACTATTCGCTATTCGCTATTCGGGTTTTCCGGCTCTTTTTTCGGGTTTTTGGGTCTGCTGAAGTTTGAGGGTTTGCCCATCAAAGAAGGCAGTATACAACTCTTGATTGAGCTGACTGGACAATGCTCGTACATGCCACACCTGGGTTCCTTCCCAACCTTAAGTTGGGTTTCTGAGATAACTAATTTGAAGGAAGCTGTTTATACCCCAGTACTCGATGCACTTGATGTATTTCCTACTTTAAAGAAAACGAATAATTGTGATCAGCCTCTTCTTCAATGATAATGTAAATTCTGGAAGATTTTACTCTTAAAAACAGTTTCCTGTAACTTGAACATGACATGCCACAGTGTTTATATCCATCTGGCAATTAAAACAGCACGCAATAGACTATTTTAATCTCTTTGCTTCCTGCGAAAGAGTTTCTTGGAGTTTCTATGTCCATGCTTTGAAAACAGTGGTAGATATTGGAGCGCAGGCACCTGTTTGAGGGGTTGTAAAAGAGTAGTTTTGTTGTTTACACAAACTTTTGATTCAAATCAGTCAACCGGAAATTCTGCTCCATTCGCAACAGGAAATTTCTGGAAATTCACACTAGACTGAATTATTGGTCGCATTGACCTAATTACTAGCAATCACTGGTGCTACCTTAGTCTTGCACAAACTGGTTGAGCCCTTATTAAATTCTCAAACGCGATTTTACTGACGTGTGCAGTATTAATAATTTTATGTATTTAAGTACGTTAGTTAAGTAAAGTTGAATAAATGAAAAAAAATACTGCAAAAGCAATCTCTGACGACTTGTTCCGTCGGAAGATACTGTGAGCAACAAAAGGCTAAATGAACAAAGGTGAAATCTATGCAAATGTTCCTCGTTTATCAAATCGAACCAACTCTGTAATAGTTAAGTAGCTAAAACCTTTCTAATGTATGCTAAAAATCAGTGCAAGTTTTGGCTTACACACACAAAAAATTATTGCTTGTGATCTTATAACCATTATTTTCAGGTGAAAGAACAAGGTAACGTGACAAGACTAGGATAGCGAAAGAAAGAAAAGAAAAGAAAATATAGAAAGGAGTACAAAGTGGAAAATGAAGAGTGAGAAAATAGTAACAACGAATGATGACAAAACTCATTTTTCAGAGATTTTAATCACCCAGGCACTTAATAAACATTTCTTTTTCAAACACTTGTTTGCGTTGACCAGCAGGTAAACAAGGAAACTACGGAGAGTTCTTAAAACTTGACTGGCCTGATTTTCATCTCAGCTCTCTTGGCGGAGTAGCGATAACCTTTCCAGTGATGCCAGTTGACGCCATCAGCCCCTGACGAGTGTTTCCCGTGATGATACAGACCGTTCAGGTTGGAAGCATGACAGTCCTCGTACCACCAGGCTCCTTTATACCGCACAGCACAGTTACTGCTCCAGATGTCATTATCCTGATCTTTGGTTGTAAAGGGGTAACCACGATGACCAGAAAGAGAATCACCAGCAGTTCCTGAAAACAAAACACGAATATTGATCTGCGTTAGACAGATGCCCTAATTTACATACAATGCTCAAAAACAGTCAAATCAGATTACTTATCCACTAGCTTGCAAAATCAAAGCAGAATAATAGTAGAATATAACCGACTTAGAGTATGTTCATTGATACTATTTTAAGGTCGGTCGTGTTTCCTTCCAAATGGCTCCTTATAATTATCTCTACAGTTTTTACCGATTCCCCTCAAAATTCATTGAAGTTTTCATCATTTTTCAACTTTCTGTTATTCATTTTGAGTTTGGATCGCACTCAAAAATATGCCTATAAACAAACTAGCGAAGCACTACAGGAAGAAGTCAATCATTTCAAAATGTTAACAAATAGAAAGACAAAATACGAAAACTTACCTGAGTAAGTTCCAAGACTCAGCTGGTACTTAGTCCTCTCGCTCGTAACTGCAAACAT